CAGGCAGGCAGGCAGGCAGCTGAAAAAAACCCCCTCTGGGGTCCTTGGGGCCTTCCTGGTCTGTTGTCGCGCAGGCCAGGGGCTCCCGCGCAGGCCGGGAGCTCGCGCTCACGCCGCCGGGTCACACTGTGTTTTTAATGCACGGTTATTCACACATCAATTCACACAGCAAACCCTTATTCTGTAAGGCACACACAGGGAGGTAGAAGGCCCCAGTGCGAGTTGCTCATATGACTGGGAGACCACACCATTCCAACCGAGGTCCTGCCGAACCTTCATCCTTTGATGGAGATGGTGTGTCTGGTTTGCAGTTCTGCAGTGCCTTTTTATGTGGCGTTTGTGGGCAAGTCCACCCCTCTTATTTTTTGCTCCAGGTGTGGCATTCGGGCCATCTGCTCTTGGCTGTAACTGATTAGCTTCTGTGAGCCATCTCAGAGACCTTGGGATTCCTTGCCCAGTCTGCCGTGTGCTGTGACGTCGATGTTGTGCACTTGCTGTGCTCCTCACACTGTGCTGTATGCAAAGTTGCCAGAGTGAGCCGCTTAGAGTAACACTAATTCATTGTCAGACATTTCTCTTCATCTGGTCACACACTAGCCGATTCTTCTGCTTAGGGCTCAGAAGGCTAAAACCAAGGTGTACCTAGGATGTGATCTTTCCTTGGATTCACATTACTCTTCAGATGTCTTTCAAATTGTTGGTAGAATTCATCTCCTTGTAATGGGAGGTCTTAAATCTCCATTCTCTGGCGAGATCTCTGTCCGGTGTCACTCATTTCCCAAAAGTCCCATCAAGGCCTTGCCGCAGGACCTTCACACAACAAAGCTGCTTACTCCCTCCAAACCACCAGCTGGGTCTCCCTGAACCCTAGGCAATCTGATGTGTCAGTATGCAACCACAGGAGTGACTATCCTTTCGCTTTGATGTATAATGTCCCCTAAGCAAAGGACAGAAAGTCCTGCCAGGTCTATCCAGTTTTTACCCCACAATCTAAACTTAATCAACTGCTTGCTTTACTCCTAGTCCAGCAAACATTACTGTTACAATTGAAATACTGTATTTTACTCTCTTTGTAAAGAATGCTATATTCCTGTTTGGGCTTGTAGTCACTTATTAGATATATTAACTAACAGGAAGGGTTATGGTGGCTTAAAAGGAGGTAGTTTCATGAGCAATTAGGTTTTGGAGTTTCTAAAACTGGGATGTGTGTTTCTTTATATAGTTATACAGTAATGTCTTCCATCATTATTATGGGTGTATACAGGAATTTACATCCTACTAGGCATAAGTCGAAAGATACATTGAGATAGACACCTGCAGGCCTTCCTCTCGAAATGTTGGGCTCACATGTGTAGTTTTATTAATAGACTTTTCCCTCCCTCTCCCAAAAAAATACTGTTCTGAGTCTTGAGATTATTTGCAGTTAATTTCTAGGTTCTAGAAATGAGGAACATTTTTCTCTCTCCTTACTCCTACATTCCAGAGTTCAGCTTCTGCTCTGAATAATAGTTGCAAGCAGAATGTTAAGATGACCTCCAAGGCTCTCAGGCCACACACCCTGCATGTTCCACCTTCGCTGTGAGGGGACCTGAGAGTGCACTGGGGCGGTCACGCCCTTGCCCAGGGCCATGTTAAAGTGAAGGTCCAGTCCCATATGATGTAAGAGTCCTTTGTAGCTGACTGGAGGGAGAAAGGAAGAGAGACAAACAGAGGGAAAGGAAAACTTGATTGATTCATTTGCTGGCCAGTAACTTCAGCATGGTAAACGTCATGGAGAGCCAGCAAGAAACAGGGACATCAGTTCCACAACTGCAAGGAGCTCAATTCTTCAAGCAGCCTGAATGAGCTTGGAAGAGGTCTCAGTTCTCCATGGAGGAGAACCAAAAGTCTTTTTTTATTTTTTTTTTTTGAGTTTATTGGTACATTTTAGCTATACAGTACAGTTATATTCATTATTGGGATCTTGTACCTTTACATGACAGGTCTTGGTTCTCATTTTCCCCCCTTATCCCTGCCCTTGATTCCAACTCGGTGAGATCTTCACCAGAGAATCCAGCTACGCCATGTCTAGAAACTAAGGTATAGCAGAGAGATGTGCGAAGCTCCTAAATTTGTGGTAATTTATTTTGTGACCATAGGAAACATCACTAGCAATGATGATAATATGCTTTCAGGTTCTACCTCTCTCTCTCTCTCTGTGTGTGTCTCTGTCTCTCTCTCTCTCTCAAATCATGGCGATACCAGAACTACTTTGGCATTCTTCATATTCACGGTCCAGACATAACATATGATTCAACACTGAAAGATTAAGGGACCAGAGTTTAGCTTATGTTCTGTGAAGGTATTTTGTATCTGGTTTACCCACATTTGTTCTCAGCTCCCACTATGTGACTGAAATAAAACATCTAAATATTGTAGAACCAGAGAATGACTATGCCATTTGCTTATAACACCACCAGGCAAAGCTGGTTAACCTTTAACAACTTATCTTTATTTAATTTGCACAACTCCTACTTTCTTCCTTATTTTAAAAGCTAGTGGTTTTCTACTGGACGTACTCACTTAGGAAGGGCTGCTTTTCTGCATTAGTCTAACTTTCATCTCATACATACAACAGCCGTGGGAAGAGACCATAGTTTTCAGAAAGGTAATCTGTAGGTGAATGTAGCTTTGACCTCAGCACATATTTAACCTTGGCTGATCTTGCACAGTCAGGGCAGAAAACCACCTGTTGTTGTGACTGGAAGCCAGTAATGTGTTGTTAAATAAATCTCTCCTGATACCTTTGTCAGGTAGCACAAAAACCCAACATTAACCACTCCTCATCTAAGAAAGAGTACAACAGTTTAACCAGGAAGTACAAGCTATAACTCACCATGAGGGTCATCAGCCAAGAACTGTAAAAAATGTTTATATTTTCTGATTTATTATTAGAAAACATTTCATATCTTTGTGTTTTAATGTATTGTCTTAGTATCCCCACAGATTATATGGGCTTTTTTTGATACTTTCTTGAGGGATGTCCAGGAAGCAAGAAGGGACCACAGATAGCTCTGGGACCAAAGGTGAAGAAGGCATTGGAGACCCAGAATAGGAAGCAATGTATGTACAACTGCTAGCACAGTGCATGGTATATATTCAGTGTTCAGCAGATGTACTTAAGTAAATGGATATATGCAAACATTATATATATATATAAACTAATTGGTATATAATTTTATATATATCAATATATTTATTATTCAATATAATATATAATATCAGTTATATATAATGTTCATACATATATTAATGATACATATAAAGAAAGAATCCTTGTGTTTCATCAGTCATAAGTAGTGCTTTTCAACATTTTATTCCATTAGGGCAGCTGGTGATTTAAGCTAGAACTTTTGGAGAATGAATTCTCCATGCGTCAGAAGGAAGATGGGTAGCAAAGATGCAGCAACCAGAGCTGCTTTGAGAAGGGCAACAGGGAGAAATAGCACTTAGGAACTACGAGGTAGCAGGAAGAAATTGGTTAG